CATGAGCTCCTCAGGAGTGCTAGAATATTGATACCACGAAAGGAGGCGTGACCAGGGAAGTGGAAACTATCGAACTTAAGCTAAATGACTCTTACAGGAACCAGGAAAAGCAGGAGGAGTTTAAACTATTAGTGAAATTGAAAAAATTCCAAATATTTCTTTTCATATGCCAAAAACAGGCAAATACCACATCTAGTATCGGGCCCTTACTCAGACAGGATGGGACTTACACAGAGGGACAACAAGGAAATGAGTGAAATATTTGAAACCCCAGTACGACTCTGTGTTTAGTGAACCACTAATCGGTCTGAGGATCGACGACCCAAATGATTTCTTCATGAATTGAGCCTCAAAACTCCATAAATGTATGCAGATTTCGACATTACCTAACTCCGATAGATTTCGAAAAAGCCATTGACAACATCCCTATGCACTCAGCCCCGGGCCCCAGACTCGTGGAAACCTGTTTTCATTAAGAACTGCAAGAAAACCCTCTCGCGTGCCCTAAGGAACACTATGGAGGAGGAGCTTGGACATGGGTGAAAATTCCACAGTCACTTAAAACAACGGAAATATAGCCCGCCCCATAAAGGTGGCAGCAAAGCATTAGCTAAGAACTAGACCAATAGCTCTGACGTCCCACATCATAAAAATCTTTGAAAGAGTGCTAAGAAGCAGGATTGCAAATCACCTGGATTCCCAAAATCTGCACAATCCAGGGCAACATGGGTTCAGGCAGGTCGCTCCTGCCTCTCACAACTACTGGATCACTATGACATGGCCTTGGATGCACTGGAAAGAAAATCAGAATGCAGATGTAATATACACGACTTTGCAAAGCATTTGACAAATGCGATCATGGCGTAATAGCCCATAAAATACGTGCTAAAGGAATAACTGGGAAAGTGGGGAGATGGATCTTCAACTTCCCAACAAATCGAACACAAAGAGTAGTGGTCAACAGAGTTAAATCGGAGGTGCCATAGTGAAGAGCTCTGTTCCACAAGGCACAGTTTCTCGCCCCATCTTATTCCTTATCCTCATATCAGACATAAACAGAGATATACACCACAGCACCGTATCATCCTTTGCGGATGATACTAGGATCTGCATGAGGTGTATCTGCTGAGGACGCGGTTAAAACCCCCAAGAAGATATAAACAAAGTTTTCCAGTGGGCCACGGTAAACAATATGATGTTCAATGAGGACAAATTCCAACTACTCCGTTATGGAAAACTGGAGGAGATAATAACTAGAACAGAGTATACTACTGACTCCGGCCATACAATAGAGCGGAAAAATAAAGTAAGGGACCTGGGAGTAGTAATGTCTGAGGATCTCACTTTCAAGGATCACAACAGTGCCCCGATCGCACGTGCAAAAAAAATGATAGGATGGATAATGAGAACTTTCAAAACCGAGAGATGCCAAGCCCATGATGATCCCTTTTTAAATCACTTGTTCTCTCTAGGCTGGAATACTGCTGTAATTAACATCTCCATACAAAGCAGGTGAAAAACGCAGATCTAGAGAGTGTACAGAGATCCTTTACTGCACGTATAAATTCTGTCAAGCACCTTAACTATGGGAACGCTTGAAAAGCACTTGACTTGTACTCGTTGGAACGCAGGAGGGAGAGATATATCATAATCTACACTTGGAAAATCTTGGAAGGAATGGTCCCAAATCTGCACACAGAAATCACTCCCTACGAAAGTAAAAGACTGGGCAGGCGATGCAAAATGCCGCCAATAAAAGTAGGGGCGCCATTGGTACACTAAAGAGGAAAACACCATAAGTGTCCGGGGCCCAAAAAATGTTCAACAGCCTCCCATCAAGCATTAGGGGAATTGCCAATAAACCCCTGGCTGCCTTCAAGAGAGAGCTGGACAGATACCTAAAGTCAGTGCCGGATCAGCGGCTCGTACGTCGGACTGCGTGCGGCCAGCAGTAACAGCCTAGTTGATCAGGCCCTGATCCATCGGGAGGCCTGGTCGTGGACCGGGCCGCGGGGGCGTTGATCCCCGGAATAACCTCCAGGTAACCTCCTCTTCCTCCTCCTCTTCCTCCTCCTCCTCTTCCTCTTCCTCCTCCTCCTCTTCCTCCTCCTCGCTCTTGACAGATGGACAGCTGCCCCCCTCCCTCCACCCTCGTTTACGCTCATCAAAGGTCAGCTCTTATCAGATGTTATCTCCCCTTATCTTGTCACTGTCATGGGGTGAACTGTTTTCATGCCTCAAGGGAACATATTATTACATATTATTATTATTAGGTATTAGGTATTATTATTATTCTTCTTCTTCTTCTTCCTCCTCCTTCCACCTTCCTCCTCCTCCCTCCCTCCCTCCTTCCTCCTCCCCCCTCCTTCCTCCTCCTCCCTCCCTCCTCCTTCCTTCCTCCTCCTCCATTGCTTTTGGTCTCAAACTCCTCGAAATCATGAAATTGATCTTCATTGACACTTCCATCATGTTAGAGCATCACTTGGGAAGAGAAGAGTCCCAGATTTGAAGGGAAGTCACATATTTCTTACCGCTAGACATGCTGAAAAAGGACGACTGAAATGGTATTCCCACAATGCACCACTGGCTCCCCGATTTTTTTTATATGGTGCACACTGACCATGGAGACCCATTCTCTCACATGTGGGCCTACCAGCTTTCTCCTGCTTGATTTGAAGCCCCTAGAATTTATGGTATAGATACGTCAAACACGGTATCTCCTATGACGTACATATACGACCGCGACAGTCAAAGGGTTAAAGGCTGCCTACATCTGGCTAACTGTTCAAATTTCGTAAGTGAAACAACAAGAGAATAAAATCTATACATTAATGAAATATAAAAAAAATTTCCTTAAAAAGTTAGGTTTTTGATCATGCACATAAAGGGGAAATGAACACAAAAGTTAATGAAGAACTTTAAAAAAAAAGACATTTATATCATGAGTCCATGTATTTGTAATATGCTAACAAAAAAGGAAAAGAAGTCAGTTTTTTCCCAAAAAATACTTTCCCTGGAACAATTTACAAATCACACACTGGGGGGGGAAATTTTAGGTTATATGGTTCATCATAAAATTAAAAAATGCCTAAATTTTATCTCCAAAGCTGTCTTTTGGTAAATAAGTTCAGTATAATGTTATTTATGAAAAAACCAGAACTACATACTAAAGGGAAAAAAAATGGAGGTACTTTTGTTTATTCTTGATATTGAAGAAACCCTTTTATGGACCAAAAAAATTTTTGCCAGTCTCCGGGCGTGAAATAACGGTAAAATATTTAAATGTTTTAAAAAATTTGAATCTTTCCGAAAACAAAATTTTTTTGTAAATTATTTAAAAAAAGTCTGTACCCTAGTAAAAATCATACTACCCCTAACCAAATTGGTTCATTTTTCCCGAAAAAGCCGTCTAAGCATCCTTGTGTCCCTGCTGAAGCAAGTACTCTCCCATTTTTCCCGACTTTTCCGTGGTAACTGTTAAGCCTGTATCTGCAAAAATAAATTACATTGTTAATCAATTTACTAAACAACAAAATATCAGGAAGATAACACAATTTTTCTCTCGCATGACCTTGTCAGTTAGCACTTATTTTATTAAAATAATTAATCCTGGGGGAAGTGGAACAGATTCTTCCTCCATAAGCCCTGCATGAAAATAGGGGACTAAAATGCCAGGAGCAAGGGGCTAGTAAAACCCCCTTTGTATTATTACTAAATGTAAAAGGAAAAAACTTCGTTTTTTCTATTAGGGGCCCCCCTGCCTTAGTGGGATATGGCCAGTGCTTGAAAGAATTACGTTTTTTTGGCATATAATAAAACCCCATTTTTTTTAGAAAACTCTTTTAAAGGTAATGCAGCATTGAATGAATGTTTTCCCTTTTTTGTCCACTCATTTGGGGGGGATGGTTTATGTAGGTACAAAAAAAAATCATTTTTTGGGTATTTGACAAAAAGGGAAAAACTGTAGGATAAGAATTTTTTGCTAATTTTATAAGTAGGAATGCTTAAAGAGGTCAAGACTTAATAGGAGTATCTTTCCCCGCGCCTTATTCATTAGATGTTTACTTAATAATGTAACAATATTATTATAAACTATGATTGAGTGATTTAAATGATTTTCATTTTTATATCCTCTCCCCTTTCCCTTTGTGGAAAAAGGTGATGATTTCCCTGTATTCATTGATGGCTGCCCGTCTAGTGGATCAAGAGATAAAGAAAGTGAAACTAAAAAAAAAAAAGGATTTAAACGTTTTACAGTAGGGCAAACAGTAAGACATTTACAAATAGCTATCTTTACAGCAGCTTCTCATCAATACAGAGGGATAATACTGGAGACAATAGATGGTAACAAGTTAAAGAGTAAGAGACAGAAGTGAAAAGATAACTCTGAGGCAATCAGTCCCTCAATGATACAAGATGGTTCTTTTATTTGTGCAAGAGTACTTTGTTCATGTGTGGTATGTTCCTAGGTTTTGGTTGAAGTGTGAGCAAGGTAACATTTTGTGAAGGGATTCAGGGAAACTGGTTAGCCAGACCTGAGTTCTGGAGGTGGTAAGTACTCTAAAGGAGGGGGTGGGGATATCTGCAGTTTTGGAAGGGCATCTGAACTGTAGTATCCATGCACCTCTGGCAAGACAGTGATAAAGTGAATGATGGTGAAAGTGTTTCTTTTTCAGGTCACCCTACTTTGGTGGAAGACAGTCGGTGAGTTAAAAAAAAAAGTAGGAAGAGGGATAATAATAATTTTATTCACCATTTACGACACTTGAAGGTTGAATGAAAAATTGGAGTGTTTACTTGATGAAGAGCTTCTCCAGGTATGAGCTTCAATGAAAAAAAAAATCATTAAGTATAATACAGGCTTCTACATGACTGGTATTTCCTTCAAGACTAGTTGACAGCTCTTGCCTCTTATCTTTATTACACCTTCCTTGTTACTTTCCCAAATAAATTAGTTGATTTGAATAATTTTTTGATAATTATTCTTTCGTTTCATGAATGAATTTTGATGTAATTCAATAGAGCCTTACCTCATTTTCTGTCATCATTGATGGGTCAATGAGCTTGGTCTGGATGGGTACTAGTGTCACAGTCTTGAAGGTAAGGAAGCCTCTGTCCCTGTGGTTATGAGGAGTTTGAGCCTCAATAATCCTTACAATATTTTCAATGCGAATACCAAACTTCCCGTCTTCATAATATCCAGGTTCTAAAAAAAAAAAAAAAAATTGGTCAAATAATTCTATATAAGAAATTTATGCATAAATATTATTGACATCATTTGGTTCAAGAGTTACAAGGAGATACTATATAGGTAAATTATCAACAATACAATTTTCACTCACTGTTCACTATGTCAAACCCAGGAATTTTCAGGGTGGGTGGGTGGCTGACCGAATGTGGCTCTCTCACTGGTACACGTAAGTCATCATACATATTATAAATTACCTAGGATAACCCAAAAAATCCAAACAAAGTGCTATACAGTGGATCTGTGCTCCAGTGCCCTAAATTAATAATAATTAAGCTATAATATAATAATCGTGTCCACTCATTACTTACCTTAAAATATCTGTAGTTTTAATGTAGAGTGAGAGGTGAGTAAACAAGATTAAATGAATAAATGAGAGAGAGAATGAGGAATGTAGAATGTTCACGAGTTATGTAAACAAAGGTTGTTGTTGTTACCAGCCCGGACACGAATGGTTCCTGTTCACTGTCAAGCCGACCAGAAAAACATCTCATATTTGTTAATTTATATGTTATGTAGCATGTTTATTATATAATTTTGAAAAAAAATCATAGATGGATTAAGCAAAATGTCTATATTAACGTTTTATACACATTTAATGCGCCTCAGTGATTATTATTGTTATCATCATTATTAACCCTTTGAGGGTCCATCCCGTAGATCTACGGCTTTACGTTCAGGGTCCAAACCGTAGATCTACATCATGAGCTCAGCTCACGCTGATAAACTGTGAGTGGTACATTTGGGTCTAGATATGAGAGAATACATCTATGTGGTATGTGTGCACAACATAAAACAGTTCCTGCAGCACGCTGTGTATAATGAGAGAAAAAACTGAAATCATGATTTTTCGATTGAAACAGCGACTTTGCAGTGTTTTTCGTATGTTTTTTATAGTTCTATTTGCGATTTCTTGGTCTCATTTGATAGAATGGAAGACATATTACAGAAATAGAGATAATTTTGATTGGTTTTAGCACTGGAAATGGCTTGAAACTGAGCTCAAAGTAGCAGAAATGTTAAATTTTTGCCGATATTCAAGAGTAAACAAACGACCTCACATGTCTAATACGCATTCACAAATATGGTGATGATATTTATACAATTATTACAGTATTGCATAACAGTAAATCTTCTATTTTTTGGTGTGAATAAAAATTCATTATGTGAATAAAAAATCAAAATGGAATTTATTTGTAAAGCCTCAAAACGTAACTAATGAACAGAGGAAATGTTAATTTAGTTCCAGGAATACCTACATTGTTTATTCTTGGCCCTATTTTGAAATTGGAATATTTTGAACTTTGTGTTAAATTGGCCAAATTAACAATTTCCGATCACTTTAATTTGTAGTTGAAACAGTTGACTTGGCGATTTCTTGTGCTCAATCGATAGAATAGAAGTAATACTAGTGAAATAGCTAAGAATTTGGTTGACTGGAATAATGTAATTGGCCTAAAATGGGAGTCAAAGTCGGCAAAATCGCCGATTCGTAAATATCGCTGACACATCAAAATTCGCGAGAGCATAATTTCGTCAATTTTCCATCAAATTTCGTACTTTTTGTTTTATTACCTTCACAAAAAGATTCTCTACCATTTCATAAGAAAAAATAAAAATTTTTTTTTTTTGAAAATTCTTGGACACTGGGGCACCACTTCAGGGGCCTTGGACCCTGAAGGGGTTAATATGGCAACTTCAAGACCAAGTACACTCTTAATGAGTGGCTCTGAGACAGACAAGCAGACAAAGACAGACACACAGGTAGACAGATACAGACAGGTTTATGTGCAACAGTGAAAACAAATAGAGAGTTCGAGAGTAAGAGCCTTTCTTGCCACAATCTCCAGTGCAAGATTCAGACTTCATCTTAGGGGCCATGGTGAAATTTACTGTCCAGTTAGTACAGTTAATACAGTATGATGCTGCTGATAGGGCAGGGTTACTCAAACTGATGCTGCCTGCATGACACATTGCCCCCACGAGTATTGTCAAATATTGTACAGTAGTGTGCATCAGCCAGCCCAGCCCAGCTGCCAGATGCACGGTCGTAAGTCGGATGGTAGGTGTAACAATATTAATAATAATATTATAGTGTTGGAGTGGTTGGTAATTTTGTTTAATAAATGTATGAAAGAGGGGAAGGTACCTAGGGATTGGCAGAGAGCATGTATAGTCCCTTTATATAAAGGGAAGGGGGACAAAAGAGATTGTAAAAATTATAGAGGAATAAGTTTACTGAGTAAACCAGGAAAAGTGTACGGTAGGGTTATAATTGAAAGAATGAGAGGTAAGACAGAATGTAGGATTGCGGATAAGCAAGGTTGTTTCAGAGTGGGTAGGGGATGTGTAGATCAAGTGTTTACAATGAAGCATATATGTGAACAGTATTTAGATAAAGGTAGGGAAGTTTTTATTGCATTTATGGATTTAGAAAAGGCATATGATAGAGTGGATAGGGGAGCAATGTGGCAGATGTTGCAAGTATATGGAATAGGTGGTAAGTTTTATACTAAATGCTGTAAAGAATTTTTATGAGGATAGTGAAGCTCAGATTAGGGTGTGTAGAAGAGAGGAAGACTACTTCCTGGTAAAAGTAGGTCTTAGACAGGGATGTGTAATGTCACCATGGTTGTTTAATATATTTACAGATGGGGTTGGGTGTTCAGGAGAGGGGTGGGATTAAATTATGGGGAATCAAACACAAAATGGGAATTGACACAGTTACTTTTTGCTGATGGGAGATTCTAAAGAAAAACTGCAAAGGTTAGTGGACCAGTTTGAGAGTGTGTGTAAAGGTAGAAAGTTGAAAGTGAGCATAGAAAAGAGTAAGGTGATGAGGGTCTCAAATGATTTAGATAAATAAAAAATGGATATCAAATTGTGGAGGAGGAGTATGGAAGAAGTGAATGTTTTCAGATATTTGGGAGTTGACGTGTCAGCGGATGGATTTATGAAGGATGAGGTTAATCACAGAATTGATGAAGGAAAAAAGGCGAGTGGTGTGTTGAGGTATATGTGGAGACAAAAAACGTTATCTACGGAGGCAAAGAAGGGAATGTATGAAAGTATAGTAGTACCAACACTCTTATATGGGTGTGAAGCTTGGGTTGTAAATGCTACAGCGAGGAGGCGGTTAGAGGCAGTGAAGATGTCCTGTCTAAGGGCAATGTGTGGCATAAATATTATGCAGAAAATTTGGAGTGTGGAAATTAGAAGGTGTGGAGTTAATAAAAGTATTAGTCAGAGGGCTGAAGAGGGGTTGTTGAGGTGGTTTGGTCATTTAGAGAGAATGGATCAAAGTAGAATGACATGGAGGACCTTGGGTAGCTTTAGGGAGAGGTTGTTCTGATAAGGGCCAGTAGGCCTTCTGCAGTGTTCCTCCATTCTTATGTTCTTATAAATCTGTAGGGAAAGGAAGGCAGGGTAGGGGTCGTCCTCAAAAAGGTTGGAGGGGGTAAAGGAGGTTTTGTGGGTGAGGGGCTTGGACTTCCAGCAAGCATACGTGAGCGTGTTAGATAGGAGTGAATGGATATGAATGGTACTATTTGGGACCTGACGAGCTTTTGGAATGTGAGCAGGGTAATATTTAGTGAAGGGATTCAGGGAAACCGGTTATTTTTATATAGCCGGACTTGAGTCCTGGAAATGGGAAGTACCGTACAATGCCTGCACTTTAACCCTCTCAGGGTCCACAGCCCCTCTCCCAGACTTGCCCAAATTTTGAAAAAAAAAAAAAAAAAAAATTTCTTATGAAAACAGAGAATCTTTTCCCGATCATAATGACGCCAAAAGTATGAAATTTGATGGAAAACTTACGGAATTATGCTCTCGCGAAGTTAGCAGTCTCGATGATGCTTACGCATCAGCGATTTTTCCCCACTTTGAACCCTATTTTCGGCCAATTCCAGTGTACTAGTCAACAAAAATCATAACTTATTTTGCTAGAACTCCATTTTTTCTATTGAATGAGTACAAGAAACCACCCATTTACTAATTTCAACTATCCAATATAGTGGTCAGAATTTAGCAATTTTGCCAATTTCACACAAATTTCAAAAGATGCCAATTTCCAAATAAGGTCCAGAATAAACAAGAAAGACATTCCTGGCACTAAAACAACATTTCCTCTGTTCATTAGTCACGTCCCCACGCCCTCTTACATTCTTTTGCTTTCCACTTTGAATTTTTATTCTCTCATAAAATAGAAGATTTACTGTTATGCAGACTACTGCATTAGTGTAGAAATGGTATAAATAATATCGGCGCACTTGTGAAAGAATATTAGACTCATTAGTTGACATGTATTGGATGTTTAGCATGATTTGTTTACTTTTGAACTTTGCTAAAAATCGAACATTTCTGCTACTTTGAGCTCAATTTCAAGGTACTTTTCATTGTAAATCCAGCCAAAATCATCTCAATTTCTGTAATATGTCTTCCATTCTATAAAATGAGACCAGGAAAACTAGAATACAACAATAAATACCATACGAAAATACAGTGCAAAGTCGCTGTTTTAATCCAAAAACACAAATTTTTTTTTTTATCATTATGCACTGTGTGCTGCAGGATTTTTTTTTATACTGCACACACTGACCACATAGACCCATTCTTTCATATGTAGGCCTACCAGCTTTCTCTCACTAGATTTGAGGGCGCTAGAATTTAGGTGCACTAGTACATCAAAAACCCTGGTTCGTAAGCCGTACCAGTACGTCCGAAACCCTGAAAAGGTTAAAGGAGGGGTTTGGGATATTGGCAGTTTGGAGGGATATGTTATGTATCTTTATACGTATATGCTTCTAAACTGTTGTATTCTGAGCACCTCTGCAAAAACAGTGATTGTGTGTGAGTGAGGTGAAAGTGTTGAATGATGAAAGTATTTTCTTTTTGGGAATTTTCTTTCTTTTTGGGTCACCCTGCCTCAGTGGGAGACGGCCGACTTGTTAAAAAAAAAAAAACTGTAAATCTAGCAAGACTTACCATCTGAGAGAAACATGCCTTCTTGAAGACCTGGATCATCTGGATAAGAACGCCATGACACCCCCATTGGGCCTTCATGAACATTAAGGTACATCCCTATTCCATGCCCAGTACCATGCCCATAATCAAGGCCAACATCCCATAGTGATTTTCGAGCAAGTGTGTCTAAGCAGTTTCCCTGTTAAAAATGAAAAATGTGACTCACGAAATCGTAATGACACGATTGCAAACAAACCATGCCACGGGCGGGATTTGAACCCGCGGTCAGAGTTTTGAGACTCTCTGACCGCAGGTTCAAATCCCGCCCGTGGTATGGTTTATGAAAAATGTGCAATACATTAACATCTAATTTTATGTGTTAATTTATATTGATGAAAGAGCTAGTAGTAAATAGGCACTATCAAGATGAAACAAAAGTAACAAATTATAAGTCAAAACATGAAAATGTACTGACTTCCTGCAAACTAAATTGAAACATGGAAACTTTAAATACATTAGTGTGGATATAGTCTAGTTAGCTGGAGGTGGAAGTACAGTGCCTGCACTCTGAAGGAGGGGTGGAGATATTTGTGTTTGGAAGGGAATCTGAGCTGTAATATCAGAGCACCTCTGGCAAGACTGATGGTGTGAGTGTTGATGTAAGTGTTTCTTCTTTTTTGGGTCACCCTAATTCAGTGGGAAATAGCCAGTGTGTTCAAAACAAAAAAATGCTGTCATACAGTACATATTGTACAAAGACAATACAGTGGACCCCCGGTTAACGATATTTTTTCACTCCATAAGTATGTTCAGGTGCCAGTACTGACCGAATTTATTCCCATAAGGAATATTGTGAAGTAGATTAGTCCATTTCAGACCCCCAAACATACACGTACAAACGCACTTACATAAATACACTTACATAATTGGTCGCATTCGGAGGTAATCGTTATGCTGGGGGTCCACTGTATATGTATTGCTGATACAGTATAAAAAAATAAACACATATTGTATATACTGTATTGAAGTATAAGTCAAGGTTCTTATAGCTTTTATTGCAAAAAAATTAGGAAGTCAATGTATTTATAGGTAATATAGCTGAAGGGGTCAAATATATAAACTGTAAATACTGCAACAGGCTTGCTGTCCATGCTAGGGATGTCCTGCCCACAGTCAAATCGTGGATTTTCAAAAGGTAACATAATTAACTTCACACTATATATGCATTTTTTCTATACCACTGAATTTACTGGGTAAAAACTGTTATTCTACCCCAAATAATTTCAAAGCCCAACCCAGTATAAAGTGTATACTACTACCCACTAGGATGCAACCCACAAATGTAGTTTACAGCAGGCTAATACCTAGGTATGTATTTAGTGTTAGGTGAACATAGGCAACAGGTATAAAGAAACCTGCCCAACATCTCTGCCTGCTTCAGGACTGAACACAGATACTATGGTTGTGAGCTGAAGGTGCTACCACTGAGCTATGAGCCACCTTGCCAATTCCATGAACACAATATACACCCTAAATATTTTAATACTGCACGGTATACTATTATATAATAAACTTTATAACAAATCTCATATTTACATTACTGAAGTATTAATATGCTTCACCTTGATCTTTGTGGGGAAGATACAAGTTGCCATGCTTATCACTCCCTTAAGAACTCTAGTGAAACATTCCTGCATAAACTTAGAAGGGGTGCCAAAATGCACCGTGCGAGTCACATCTGTTGTTCCATCCCTGCGATAAAAAACAAATAAAGACAAATAAAAATATTATCAGAAATTCAAGCATGGCTTGGGACTAAGCAGTCCAGATTTCTGATGCTCTATTGTATATATCATTGTACAGTGGTCCCTCGTTTTTCGTAATTAATCCGTTCCTGGAGGAGCTACTATAAACGAAATTTACGATTTGCGAATCAATTTTCCCCATAAGAAATAATGTAAATACAATTAATCCGTTTCTGACACTCAGAAGTATTAAAACAAAAAAACTTTTACATGAAATATACATGTAGTACATAAACAATACAATGGGAAATGATGAAACATTAACAGCATAACACTTACCTTTATTGGAGATTCTTCTTAGTGTATGGGAGACTGGAGGAGGAGAGAGATTGGATTGTTTACAGTTTGGAAGGGGAATCCCCTTCCAGCAACACCTCAGGTACCAATTGCTTCTCTGGGGTTGCTTCTCTTCTCTGTTTCTTAATGCCACTAGGACCACCTTGAGAGTCACTCTAGTCCTGTCTCACAAAGTAACTGTGGAGAGAGCTCTGTTTCTGGCGTCTCTTTAACACTTCCTTAAAATGGTACAAGACTTTGTCACTGTACATATTTCTCACCTTCTTTACCACAGGCTTGGCACTAGGAGCTTTCTTTGGAGCCATGGTAGCTTATTTATTACTTGCAAGCACTAAAATGAGTGGAATATTATGAAATATTTCGTAGGAGCACTTGAGGGGACCTTCACTCACTGGTAAACAATGCCAGACTGGCTGGGTAGGGAGGCCTCCACAGCTCACACTGTGCGTAAGCGTCCTGGACGAACTACTATTCGCGAGTCAACCTATGAAAAGCGAGTCCGTGTTTATACGAAAATACCCCTATGATTGGCGAAATTTACGATTGCCGAGAACTATGAAAAGCGAGGGACCACTGTATATATCAATGCTTCCTCTATGAGTGCAGTTTGGAAAAAAAGTATGGAAATTGAGTGGCAATTACTCTCCAGATATTGCTCCCATTCTTAGGGTTGCTGGTGTCAGTATTGCAAAATCCTGTTGAAGTTACCACCTTTAGACTTTTCTTCTAAAAGAGAAGATGTGCTTTTTATGCCTCTTAAACTTAAGTCAACACCTTCGCTTGCCAATCGTCAGCAGCTGGGCCTGATGGCATTCATATTCATATGCTTCAGCATTTACATCCGTCAGCTCTCATAGTTCTCTTACATCTTTTTAATCTCTTTTGGTTGCAAGGGGTTCTTTCCCTTTAAACTGGATACTTCAGGCCATGATGCCTCCCACTATTGACCCATTGCTCTTACTAGTGCAGTTTGCAAGCTGAAGGATTATCTAGTAAATAGACATAGTATGGTATTTAGAGACACAGTAGTCTTTCCACCTGCCAATTTGGCTTTCATATGGGCCGCTCCACTATTGACTCCTTACTCCGCTTAGATACCCATGTTTGTAATGCCTTTGGTCATTGCAGTCTTTTTCGATCTTGAAAAAGCTTATGACACTACTTGGAGATATAACATCTTGGCCCAAGCTCATTCCTTATGCCTCCGGGAAAATCTGCCACTTTTCCTCTTAAAAACTTCTTGTCCGAAAAACAGTTCAGTGTCCGGGTTAATAATGTGCTTTCCCTTGACTATATCCAGGCTGAAGGTGTCCCCTAAAGATGTCCTTTGCACCACTCTTTTTCTACTAGCTATTAATGCTCTGGCCTCTGTTCTCATATCTAATATTTGGTCATCACTATGTGATAACTTTGCTATAATTTGTGCAGGTGCTGACTACCACCTAGTAGAAACCACTCCCCAGCATGCTGTCAACTGTGTTTCCCACTGGGCTGCTACTAATGGGTTAGAATTTTCTGATACTAAAACACACCAGATTACTTTTATAGATGTTTTGGTGTCTCTAATACTCCAGTATACCTGTATAGTTCCCACATCTCTGAACATGATACAGTCAGATTTCTTGGTTTTCTGTTTGATTGGCAGCTGACCTGGAAGCTCCAGATTACCTCCTTGAAAGCAACTTGCCACAGCTGGCTGAACTTCTTAAAACCCTCTCTCATCTTTCTTGGGGGAAAAGATCGACGACTCTCTGGCCTCATTCTGCTTTAATTTTATAGAAACTAAATTATGGCAACCAGATATACACTGCAATTACTCCTGGAACTCTTTCTAAACTTGATGTTATTAATCATCAGGGATTATGTTTGTGTTCTAAGTGCTTTTCGTCTCCTGTCGAGAGCCTATATGCAGAGGTGAATGTTCCATCTTTGTATGACTGGCATAATGCCCACTGTCTCCAATATTTTGTCTGCTCTCATGACCTCCACGATCCTCCTACATACAGGATGGTAATGAAGGTTAGTAGAGGTCCATTGTTTGATCACTGCTCCTTTTAACTCTGTCCCTTTTCTCTCCATATTCACTCTCTTGGCCTCTCTTCAATTGCCCCCTTTATATGTTCATCTGGTATATAACTTTTCTCTTACCCCTTGGGAGGTGCCCACAATTCAAGCCTGTTCTTCCCCACTGCTGTGTGTGAAAGCTCAAATATCTAGAGATGCTTCTCCTTTTTTTCTTAACCACTTTCAATCTCATCCTCATGCCACTACAGTTTACACTGGTTCTAGTTCTTTGACGGTGTCGGGTTTACAGTAGTGTTCCCAGATAGTGTTGTTCAATGTCGTTTATTAGACTTGGCTAGCATTTTCACAAATGAACTGTATGCAATTCTCACTGCAATTATATTTATTGCATCCATGCCTACCTCAACATTTGTGGTAGTTTCAGATTCCTATAGTGAGTTGCAGGCTATCAAACAATTTAATTCACCTCATTCCCTAGGTTTTTGTATACAACTTTAGTTGCACTGCATTTCTAGTAAAAACAAAGAAATAATATTCTGCTGGGTCCCTGGTCATGTGGATGTTCAGGGCAATGAGAAAGCAGACTCTGCTGTGAGGTCAGTGGTACACGACCTTCCAGTTTCATATAGGAATATCCCATCTCAGATTATTTTGCTATAATCTCTAGCCACCATTGGCAACAATGTGGGTCTGAATTGATTCATAACAAATTATATTCTATCAAGCCATGTTTAAGCTTCTGGTCTTATTGTTGATGTTATAGTTGGAAGACTACACTCTCCCGTCTTCACATCGAGCACAAGTCTCACTCATGGGTATCTCATGAAGAGGCACCAAGTGCCACACTGTGAGAATTGTCAAGTTCCAATGTCAGTTTGCCATATTCTATTTGACTGTCCTGTCTACCAGCGGGCACACAGAATTTACCTTCGATGCCATCACTGCTCTAACACCCTTACTTTATCTTTCCTCCTTGCTGACAGCCCCACCTTGGACACAGACTCCCTCTTTGAATTTTGTCAGAAACAGTTTTATTACACTTTGATTATATTCACTTCCTTTAACACTCCTCAATGCCCTTTTTAACTCTACCTCTAAAGATAAAGGATAAAGGTTTATTTCTTTGTAAAGGTTACAATGTGTAATTACAATTTTGTTTTAAGTACAAAGAAATCCACTATCATGCCGGGGCATTTCAGACAGACTAATACTAATATATAGTAACTACTTAAAACTAGACATGATAATAGTACATAGGTTGGTAGACAGCAACCACCCAGGGACGTACTACCGTCCTGCCAAGTGAGTGTAAAACGAAAGCCTGTGATTGTTTTACATGATGGTAGGAGTGCTGATGTCTTTTGTCTGTCTCATAAATATGCAAGATTACAGGTATGTCTTGCTACTTCTACTTACACTTAGGTCACACTACACATACATGTACACATTTATTTATACACACTCGTCTGAGTTTTCTTTGATTTTATCTTAATAGTTCTTGGTCTTATTACTTTTCCTTTTATATCCATGGGGAAGTGGAATAAGAATCTTTCCTCCGTAAGCCATGCGTGTTGTAAAGTCAACTAAATGCCGGGAACAATGGGCTAGTAACCCCTTTTCCTGTAAAGTTTAAACTAAAAAGAATAAGAAGAAAATTGTCAAAGAGGGAAGCCCTGAATGTGCGTGGATGTGTGCAGATGATAAGAAAGAGATGACTGTGGATTTTATGAATGAGAGAAGCTGGATGTCCTGGCTTTAAGTGAAACAAAGCTGAAGGGGGTGGGAGAGTTTCCGTGGAGAGGAATAACTGGGATTAGGTCAGGGGTTTCAAATAGAGTTAGAGCTAAAGAAGGAGTAGCAATAATGTTGAAGGATAAGCTAGGCAGGAAAAGGGACATAAATGTATTATTCAAGGATTATGTGGAAAAAATAAAGATTGATGTGAAAAGGGGGTTTAAATAAGCGGGTAGCACCTGGGAAGAGGAAGTGAGGGAGAGAGAGAGATTTTGGGAATGTTGATGAATCGTGGGATTTTGAATCAGGTGAGGAAATGGGGGTTTGGGGATTTAAATGCTAAATGGGTAAAAATGTTATGGAGGGATAGTAGGAAAATTTTTGGGGTGCCAGGGGAAATGAAAATGGGGAGTTTTTAATTAAAAGCTATGTGTAAAAAAAGATTTGGAATAAGTAATACATATTTTATGAAAAAGAGGATAAATAAATTACAAGGTATGATGTAGCACGTAATAAAAAGTAGTTTATTGATTATGTTTTGGGTGGAAAAAAGGGTTTTAGGGTAGGCTCCAGGATGTACTGTTTATGAGGGGCAATGATATATTGGATCATTATTTTTTGTAGTACAGTTAGAGTAAGAGGTAAGGGGAAAGAGGAAGGTGGAACAAAAATTTAAGAGGGAGGTGAAAGTGTATAAATAAGGGAGGAAAAAGTTCGGGGGAGATATAAGCGACTATTGGCAGAAGGTGGGCTAGTGCAAAATGAGTAGGGGGGGGGGGGGGGGGGTTTTGAAGAGGGTGGAATATTTTTTAAAAGCAGTTTAGAATGTGGGGCAGAAGTTTGTGGTTTGGAGGGGGGGGCAGGAGGAAAAGGAGTGATTGGGGGAATGAT